GGCGAAAAAAAAAGTACCTCAGTCGACCTCAGTCCACCATTTCTTTCCTCCTCTCAGACCAGAAATATAAAACCCTCGTCTTTTTTTTCTGACCGAGGCTCAAAGTTATTTGATAAACAGCAAAAAGTTTCAGGACAAAGGTTAAAAAAAAAAGATGCAGCAGAACTCCTGGTCTGACTCAGTAGGGGAGGGATGGGGGGCTGTTTCAGAACCGCTTACTGGGTCATTTTAGCCACAAACAGAACCAACAAGAAAGAAGCAAAACATAAAAAATTAGAGAAAAATCATAAACTCTAAATCCAAATAAACTCTAATTATAATAACAAATTAATAATAGTTTTACATCTAAAAAAGCATTTATTCTTTTTATCTGTTTGCCTCCTTCAGCAACCTATTTAATTTCTGTTTTGTTATGTTTTATAGCTTTAACCAAGTTTATTAATGGATGAGAAATCCTCTTTTTTCATTCAGTGTTTAATATGGCTGGCAAAATCAATTGTTAAAATATTTATGATGTATTTCTTTTTTTAATTTAGTATATTATTTTAAAAAAATCCTTCATTTTATGAAAAGACCCTCTTGATTCAATAGAAAACTCTGGTTTTTAAGAAAATGGCTGCTTATTAATTAACTATTAGTCACACTATAAGATAAGTCAACTTCAGATTAATTTATTAATCGATAACTTGCATCCCTAATTTATACAGGAATTAAATGAATTTATATTTATGTAATTAAGTGATTTAATGATTTGGCCGATTAATCAAAAAAGTAATTGACAGATTAATCGATTATTAAAATAATCGTTAGTTGCAGCCCTAAACTGAACACAAATCTAAAACAAAATAAGTAATTATCCCTTTTCTTTGTGATATTTACATGTCTTTACTTATTCTATGACATTTAAACTTACCAAAAATTCAACATAAATAAAAAACGAAATCAGTAATTATTTTTTTCCTTTATGAACAGATCTCTCTCTAGGGCTCTGGTCGAACCGCTTTAGGAAGGGGGAGGGGCTCACAGGCGGGCTCACCGCACCGCTCGCTGCTCGCGGAGGAAAAGAGGAGAAATGTGATTGTCGCTAAAGCTTATAAAAGTCTCCAAAAACACTGGGAAAAGTCGCTAGATTTGTCATTTGAGGGTCTAAAAAGTCACTAGTTTTCGTGACAAAGTGGCATCGTTGGCAACACTGTTAGCGAGACAACAGTTATCTCTCAACCAGAGATATCGCGGGAGTTTAATATCGCAGATTTCGTACAACTAGATCTCATTACACCCCTAGTAATGGATGAGTTCAGAACTACAAAAAATATATATTTTTCTCCGGTGTGTCCGCACTTTGCTGTGGCACCTGCAGAGAATAACAACTAGCTACAAAATTTGTCTTTTGAAACAGAAAATGCTGCGCGTGAAGGAAGAGGAACTCTTCCTGCGTGAAAGGCGGGACAATTCCCACCACAGACGGAGGCGGTACTCCGAGGACTACGACAGCGAGTTGGATCTGTACCAGCAGTACAAAGCAGCAGGATTTAACACCAACATGGTAGACCAACTCTACGGTGAATCTTAAAAATATGCACGTTTGATCGAGAAGTTATACATGACGTTGTTTTTTTGTTTTTGTTTGTTTTTTTTTCTCTCACAGCTGTGGGCCAGTGACGATGACGACGAGCTGGCTTTCAGTCCCGTCATGCGTAAGAAAGCTATAAAGGTGAAGCACGTCAAGAGACGAGAAAAGAAGTTTGACAAGAAAGTAAGTTTTTCCTTTTAAAGAAAAAACAATGATAAATCATAACATCCTGTCTGATAATCGTCTTCTTCGTGATTTAGAAAGAGTCTCGCCGCCATAAGCAGAAGCAGAAGCACAAAGACAGAAGCCGACACAGTGAGAGGGGGGATTATCGGGACAGCGGGGGGAAGCGTCAGTGTCTCGGGCCGAACTGTATGAATGCATCGAGGCTCAACTCCAAATACTGCTCTGAGGACTGCGGCATGAAACTAGCAGCAAAGTAAGAGCTCCAAGCTTGGAGTAATTTTTTTTATAGATCCTCCTGAGGAGAAAAAAAAAAGCGATGTAAGAGTCAGAAACGGGTCGCTTCATTTCTGTGCCTTTGGATCGACAGCCGGATCTATGAGATCCTCCCGCAGCGCATCAAGCAGTGGCAGCAGAGCCCGTGCATCGCCGAGGAGCACGGCAAGAAGCAGCTGGAGCGCATCCGCAGGGAGCAGCAGAACGCCCGCATCCGCCTCACCGAGATGGAGCGACGCTTCCACGAGCTGGAGGGCATCATCGCCAAGGCCAAACAGCAGGCGGTTCAGCAGGACGAGGAGGTGAGGCCGTATTGATCTTCTTCATCCCCACATGTTATCTGTAGAGAATACCGTGGGATCCGGTATTAACGGGGCAGGGCGTGGTGGTGGGGTGCATAGTCTCTCCATTGGCGCCAAACTTCATTCAACTTTTGAATCTTTTTATGGCACTTAGATAACTCTGGGTCTTGGTCAGAAAGTGGGTCAGGATGAGGATGAGACTGACAGTGGAATGAACTGTTGTTGTTTTTTTGTTTATTTTATGAGACTACCTTGTTTCTTTCTGCATCGAGCATCAAATAGGACGACCATGTTCTGGAAAAAAAAGTGTTGTATGCTATTTATCATAACTGTTTTTTTTTGGCCTATCAACACAAATTTAAAACTGGTTAGTTAGAAGCCTCTATATTTGACACAAATTGAGTGTCTATGAAGGCGCATCTTTCCTGCTAGAGTAATTTAAAGRCTYCAGAAGGTTAATATACCATCATCATTTTTAAATACCATCACTGTATTTTAGTRCTGAGATATATACTKATCCGAAAGGCAGGAGATGTTGTGGGAATAGAGCTGGACKCTVTGACTCCAGTGTCTGAGAGGAGGATGCTGGCAAAGCTGCAGGGAATCATGGACAACAGTTATCGCCCTCTATGACACTGTCAGGAGTCACAGAAGCACGTTCAGTGCAAGACTCATTGGGCCTCATGCAAGAACCGTTCGTACGCACAGATTTGTTCTTAAGTTGTGCGTACGAGTGATTTAGGAGAATTTGTGGCATTCACCAATGTTTTCATATCCAAGATTTTTTTCAGATACGAACAAAATTAACGAGTGGTCCAGACCTGTCGTATATTTTACCAGCAGTCAGTCTGCTGTTATCCAGACGGCACCTAACCGGTGCATGACGGTGTGTCTTCTGAATAAATGAAAATGATTTAACACAGTTGTTTATACTTTTAGCAGCTCTTTTTATTCCACAGCTGATGCTGCTCAAAATGACAGATTTTMTTTTCTGGATCTCTGAGACTTCAATCTCTGAACTTGTAAACTTTTTCTTTTTACATTTTGCTGTCATTTTCATGAATGGACACTTTCTGATATCTGAGGCAGGAAACATAGCCTTATATGGTGTTTTTGGGGTGGTGATTATGCTAATCTCCTCTCGTGTGCACGAGCAGCTGGATAGAACAGGTGGAATTTACGCAGCTCATTTACACACTTTTCCTGAAGATAGAAGAGTTTGTTGAATCTGACGTGACATGTTCGTACAAACCCTTTTGTACGAACAAAAGTAAGAGAAATTTAGGATAAGAATAAGAACATGTTCTTGCATGAGGTCCAATGCTCCTAAATGCACCACTGAGGTTGTTCCTACCAGTGGCAATCAAACTATAACTGCCCGAAACACGTGAAACCTTAAGTCATCTGTCACTTTAATACACGTGCAATTTATTTATCTACAACACCTTAATCTAACATGCAATATCACTATCATCACCTATTCTTATATCATTTAATGATATCTGATGGGACCTCTCCATCAGCCATGCTTTTATCTTTTAGAGTATATCACTGTCTTTATTTTCTATTTAAACTGTATAAATACCAAATTATGCTTATTGTTCTGTGTTCATTTAGTTCCCCAGAGTGTTTATGCTTATTTCTTCCTTGTGTGCTCTAATATTTTCCATTTGTATTTTATCTCTAATGCTTATTTGAACGGTTGCTGCTGTAATAATTGTAATTTCCCCCCCGGGGATCAATAAAGTATTCTGATTCTGATACAGTACGGTCATATCGCCCAAGCCTAGTTCTAAACTGCTTCCTCGTGCATTCGATTCACCTTTCCAGATGCAGAGCAGGAATAATGCAACTGTTTCTTTTTATTTTTAAACCAATCGCAGGTGAACGAAGGAGACAGCGAGGACACGGATCTGCAGATTTTCTGTGTGTCCTGCGGTCATCCCATCAATCCAAAGGTGGCACTGAGACACATGGAGAGATGCTACGCTAAGGTGAACGGCTCATCTTTTTCTAATCATTWACAGTGATCCAAGCAAAAACTCTTCATCTGTCTGAATTTTTTATTATTTTTATGAATCTTTTAACAGTATGAGAGTCAGACGTCCTTTGGTTCCATGTATCCAACAAGAATAGAGGGGTAGGGAAAACCCATTAAAAATGAGCAAAGATAACTGATTTGTTTTCGTAGTTTGGTGTTTTATTAAGTTGTTTTTTTTTTTCCCGCAGCGCCACAAGGCTCTTCTGTGACGTGTACAACAACCAAAGCAAAACGTATTGCAAGAGGCTTCAGGTGTTGTGTCCAGAACATTCCAGAGATCCAAAGGTCGGTGGTCCAAACGCCCAGCGGCGTTTCTGTTGCTTCCATCTCTCGTTTTAATTTTTCTAACGGTCGCCCCCATTCTGGTGTCCAGGTCCCAGTAGACGAGGTGTGCGGATGTCCTCTGGTGAAGAACGTGTTCGCGCTGACAGGAGACTATTGTCGAGTTTCCAAACGCAAGTGCAACAAGCATTACAACTGGGAGAAGCTCCGGAGAGCTGAAGTGGACTTGGAGCGGGTCCGAGTGGTGAGTCGGACCTAAAGACCACAGCTTTTCTTCATTTGGATCACTGAAATAAAGAAAAATGTCCAGTTGATGAAGTTTGTATAAAAGCTACCACATTAGTTTAACGAGTTAGAACTGATCTGTTCCTGGTTTCACTGTTTTCACACAGTGGTACAAGCTGGATGAGCTTTTTGAACAAGAACGGAACGTCAGGACCGCCATGACCAACAGAGCCGGTCTGCTCGCTCTCATGTTGCACCAGACCATCCAACACGACCCTCTGACCACTGATCTTCGTGGCAACAAGGATCGGTAGTCTGCCTGGTCCTACACCACTTGTGGATCTTGATATCGGTGTACATAATCCTTTAGATGAAACCTTTGCATTGAAAAGTACTTCTTTGATGGAAACTAATTTTCAAATACGATAAATTGAAAGTTTGAGTGATAATATATATTTTTCTCCTAATAACTGTCAGCAAACAACTTGATATTATTTTGARCAGGCTTTCTGAATAAACCTTCAACTTGCTACAGAATGTGTGTCAATCATTTACTCCAGCGTGTCTACTTTCTGTAAGTGCGTTTAAATCAGTTTCCTGTATCAGCTTTTTACTGTTCCCTCATTTACTATAAGGCGTTTAATAGACTTTGTTTTTATATTAAAAAATATTCCAAAATCTTTTAAAAAAGGCTACCAGAACAAATATTCACACAGTCGACGTTTATAATCCTTAAAAAAAAAAGATTATTTGAACAAGCTTGGAAATCTGTGTACAGTTGTTTCCTGAATGCAGAAGTCCACAGCAAGAACATGCAAACGCCAGCCTGGGAGTCGAAACTGTGACCTCAGTGTGAGGCGACCGCTCTAACCACTTCACCTCTGTGCCTCCTTATTTTGATTTTTATTTTTAAATATGTTTTTCTTTTTCAAATAAGCTAAGTTTTTGGCCAAATAAACTTGCCCACCAACCTTCCCATTCGCCAAACTCACCTGTAAACTCTTAATAAATGAACACACTCAACATGTGAGCTGAACATGTTGAGTGTGTTCCTGTCAGACTTGTTCTTGAACGCAACTCAAAGAGCCTGTAGACCGGACAAGATAAATCCCTCCCTGCCACCTTTGTACCGGTTGTTGTGGTGTGTTGATTTTGAGGGCCACCATCCTGCAGGTTTTTTTCTCTGCTCCACGCACCTATTTTGAATCAACGAGTGAAGGAATCTGCAGAACACGAAGAGGTAATTTAGGGGCTGTCGTCCAGAGGGGAAAAAATACATGATTTTGACATTTTTAACTCGCGTGCTTTTATTTTGAAGGCGCTACACAGCGTMATTTCGCGGGGACGGGAGCGAGTGAGAGGCTGGCAGGTTGCAGGCTTCTTCAGCGGTAACAGTTTAGAATGAGGTAACTCAAACATGTTTTCATTCTTTTCTTTTATTAACTATTTTCCACAGTCAACCCTGTCACATAACTTCAATCTCTGTTTAACTTTTTCTTTGCTTTGAAACCAAAGTATGGAACCCAGCCTGCCAACATTTTTGTTCTGTTCCCTTCGCAGTCACAATAATTCTTTAAAAATAGCTTATTGTTCATAAGTATTCTGTTAAAATCATATTTCTGTAGCAGCAAACAAACTAGTTTCTCTTCCTACTTTGATTTTAAATTACAAATTTGACAAAGCTCCAGATCAATGAGAAGTTGTAGGTTATTAGATTTCCTGACTAGACCAGAAAATCTTATGAGAAAATAGATTTCAGGATTATGATGATTCTCATAAATAATTTTAAACTTCTAAAATGTAAGTGGAAATATTTTCATGAATAGAACGAGTGTTCAGCTGAACTTAACGATACGAAAGGGGATGTTGCATGGCGGTGTTTATCTTGAGTGCTCAGTCTTCTTTGACCCCAAATCGGTTTCCGTTGATAGATGCATGGCAGAAGGTCCATCCCTGCTTCGTAAAGTGAAAGGGACCTGCTACTAAGAAGACAGTGAGACAAAGGTCTAWAAAACAGAAACAAAACGGGCGTTTGTGTTTTTCTAGAGTCACGTAACTAGAAAAGTTTGCAGTGCAGTGTCGGCAAAACAGCTCCTCGTAGCTCACTAATCATTTTTTACGGCAGCGGCTCGGTGCAGAGGTCCACCAGTCGCTAAAGCTAACTGCGGCTAACGTCATTCCTGTTACAAGTAAATGCTCTGTCTTCATTTTCATCCACTGTTGTGTTGCGTATCGCTAACMTGAGTGTTTTTAACGTAAATGTTTTCGCAAGCAAGAGTCACAACCTTTGCTTTTAGCTTAAAGAGGGATGCCGGTGCCGCTAGCATTTTTTTCAGTGGCTAACAATGGCTAACATTCCTATGCTGGCTAATAAACCATGAAACTGGAGCTTTATGTTTAATCTCGTTGCCTCCCACGCTATAAAGCCAGGCTGAGAGTACACTAGCACAAGCTATACTTAGTATTTGTTAATAAGTAACTTCCTCTTTTTCCCCCCCAGGTTTTGTTGTAAAAACTGAACAGCTGACAGCATTCTGGTTCAGACCCCCCCAGACCTCAGGAGGCCAGGATCAAACCAACACAYCAGACCAGGGATGCATGTCCAGCTGTAGGAAGGATCACCTCTCTCTGCAGGGAATCGAGGACGATCTGGTCCAGCTAAATCGGTGCAGAAATGAACGAGGAAGGAGTTGAGAATCAGCTCCCCCCTGGCACTGAGCCAGGGGTGGTGGGAGACACCGGACCCAACATAAACGCCAAGGAGACTCAGGAGACAGCAGGGGAAGCACCTGCACCCTTAGATGACCCGAAGGAGACGCCGGGTGTAAGTCCAAACCCCGAGGACGACAACCCCGCAGCAACGGAGATCAAAGATGAAGTTAAATCTACTGCTGGTGAACCGGGTATGGACTGGTTCGAGCCGCTCGAGGATGACGATGACCCCGACACCGAAAGCCTGGCAGGRGAAACCGAGAGCGTTGCAGGCAGCGAGAGAGCCATGAAAAAGATATACATGTAGGTTGACGACCTCCTGCTTGTTGTGTGACAGYGCTGTGTGTCTGACATGTTGTCTCTTCAAACCAATAACTTATTTACTTTATTTCTATCACTGTAAGCGTAGTCTTCAGACTGGATTGTGAATATTTATGCCCAGACTCAAAGCTCTGGAGTAGAAAATAAGTCCCGCCCTCTTTCTGTGCTTTCAGTTTTATTAATCGGGACAAAATAGAAATGTTTTTATCAGTTTTTTTTTTTTAAATTATTCTGAAAAACACAGCAGTTCCACTGAGTCGTCATCTGTTCAACAGAAACKGAGTCAGAATGGACAGGTTGAGTGTGTGAATAGAGTTTAAGAGAGAAAGTAACAGCCAGGTGCTGGTGTTCATCAGTGTGAGCGCCTGTATGACGGCAGGAAGTTTGGCTTTTGATTAGCAATGATCTAAAAACAGTTACTGCTGCTCATCTCTCTGAGAAGAGTTAAATACGTCAAACGATTCGTAGTCCATCACGCCGCGGTACTAATTCTTATTTTCAATTGGAGAAACGTTTCAGACATCTGCCAGTCTCAGGAGTAAACATCCCCCTGCAAGTTCACCTCGAGGTTAGACCACAGTGCTCAGAGAAACGCCTCCACCTCCAACCCCACAGTTCTCAGTCAGCAGATCAAACGTTGCATTTTGTGACAGGATAATAAGATAAAGTGTGTGTTTTTTAAGATAAAAGTAAGACTGCTCTCTTTAAAAACAACACTTCAATCTATCAACACAGTAAATGTAAAAAGGTCAATAAGCTGTTAAATCRTGAGGGGACCTTTTGGTGCTAACACACCTGCAAGCTTCACACCAAACTGTAAAAACTCCTCTTTCTCTCTTAAATCCTAAGAGTGGAGTTAGTTTTTCCACACAGCCTTTTTTTATTTAGTCTGTGTTTGTTGAATGATAACGTGGAGTCCGTTGTGTGTTTTTTAAAATAAATTTTGAATATTAATGAAACAAAAGCATTTTTGTTCCCATGAGYGTGTGCAGATAGTTTTGAATGACCTGAAAGATGTTTATTATTTATTTGTTTTTCCGTTTATTTTTGAGGCTTCAAAGTCATCGCCGCAAGCGATCGCATCCCGACGAAGGATGGGAGGATTGTCCTGTGCTCGGAGAAGGTTGGAAACGCAAAGAGGTGGTTCGACGCTCGGGCTCAAGCATTGGTCAGAAAGACGTGTATTACCTCGGGTAAAAACAAAAAAAAAAAAACCTTTATTTTATTTGAAACGTATGTCATCTACATTAAGCTGTTTTACACCAATTTCAAACATGATAATTCATGCCTGTAACTGTAAAATGTAAATACTTTCTTTTTTTATCACAGTTGAAGATTCTTAGTTACTACGTTGTGGCGAGAAATCTGGGCATTTGTGAATTAGCTGATTCATTCATAATTAGTCATATTTTTACTGGTCTCGTTTGTTCTCCTTCACAGTCCTTGTGGTGAACGAGTGAGGAGCAGAGTAGAACTGACCACGGTGCTCCAGGGACAGCTTGACTTGACCAGCTTTGATTATAAGTCGGGCAAGTTTTACGACGGAGACGCCCCCCCCGTGAGAGTTCGAAACAGGGTAAAGGTACGACCCACTTTTCAGCCGRAGCTCCACACTCGCTCGTTGCACCAGAGCGACGCTACATTTATGAACACCTGCAKGCTTCACAACTGTTTTACCACCATGTTACATGTTTCTAAGGTGACCAGTTTTTTTTTAACAGGAATAAAACTGAAGGTTCATATTTGTATTTGCTGGAATTGTAGCACAAATGTATGGAGGACAGAAACTGACATAATTAAAAATAAAAGCAGAAATGTATAAATGACCTAATAAATAAATATACTTAAAATGCACCAGTTCATTTAAAAAAGGAGAACTTTCTCCAATATTTTGTAATTAAATTGAGCAAATATGAAGGTCAATTCAGTTATAAAATATAAGGGGAAGTTCCACGTCTTTTTTTTTTTTTACTCAAAAACAAAATGCATGTCCACATTCACCTCTATCAAATCTTATTTAACYGAATTGGTGCATTTTTAAGTTTATTTATTTTTGGGCCATTCATGTATTTCTGCCCCTTTTTTGTCAGTTTTGTTCCTCCATACGTAGATGTGGTATAAACATCATAAAAAAACGTATGAAGTTGTTTGACAAAGCTGTCAAAARCACCAGTTACACAGGTGTTGGCATCTAATATACATTTTGTCACATTTTGACAAATGTAATTATTAGATTTTCCATGATGCAAGAATTCAAACTGATTTTTATTTTTAATTTTGTCCAAACTTTTACTGGAAAAATGGAGCCATTTTAATAAAACGTAGCCGAAATCATTTTAAATAAGAAAGTTTCACCGTCTTTTTACATCACTTTTGTAATTTTGTGTCATCCCACAGAGCAAAGAAAAAAAGGCTTCAGAGTGGTTCATTGTGCCCTTTTTTTTTCTGTGAACAGCAGCTGAATTTTAGCTGAGAGTTTGCTGGTTTAACAGTGACCAGTCTGTTTCTGAAATACAAACGTTTTGACCATGGTTGTCTGTAGGCCTGTTCTCCTGCACTTGGCCATGGTTGGGTGTATTACCTGGAACAGGGAGATAAACAGATGCACTGATGGAGTAAGCTCAAGGCTAGGGCCGAGGATACAAACAGTCAGTTCAGTGTTTCTGATGGCAACAGAACYATCTTCTTATCTTCATAATAGCTTGGCCTTTTGTAATTTTGTGCAAATTTAAATCTGTCAAAGTCTATAACTGAAGAGTGTAACTGCTGTTCTCAAGCTGGATTTTGTACTTGTTTTATGTTGAATCTGACTTCTTTATTTGCTGTATTTTAATCATTTTAATTGTAATTTTTAGCCTGTAATTTTGTAATGGTGTTCCACTTTGACCAGGCCTTCACTGAAACTGAGATGTTAATCTCGGTGGACTTAAAAGTTAAATATATAAAAAAAATAAAAAGCTTCAGCGTGGGAAACCAACGAGTCACACTCCGGAGCTTTATTATTTATAACCTGTGGCATTTAGTGATTTCTCTGACGCCAACGCTGGTTCTCTTGTCCCGTAGAGAAAGTACCGAGAGCGTTCCTCCTCCGAGTCCAGTTGGATGGAGAGAGGAGACGGGGCGGAGACTCCTGACTCCTACCACAGGCTCACCCCAACTCCCGGGCCCAAAACCTCCCAGCAGAACCAAACCAACGTTTACACGAACAATGTGACGGGAGCGTATCAGCAGGGCTCTCACGCTGAGGAGTCGCTGGCGGAGGAGAAAATCCGGCTACCGCCCCCGTCGTCATCTCGGACGCTCCCACTGCCATCAATAAAGGGAGAGTTTGGATCAGAAGACAGTATTCTGTAAGCCTGTTATTACTTCAGTTATTTAACAGATGAGCCTTCATTATCCTGGCATGTTGTTGAACACTTATAGAATAATAATAACTGTGTCTCTGAAGGGATTGTGCCAGATGTGGAAGCACTTTTTCAGGTACATGGTACGACAAACAAAGAAAGAGGCCCTGCTGTCCCACCTGCTGGGGTACGAGCTAAAACCAAGAAATAAAGCATTTTGAAATCGTACTTTTTCATCTCACTTGTGTTTTTGTTTTAATTTCAGCGTTGTCAAAGGCGAAAGTGCACCCCATGATCCGTTTCAGAAAGGTAAACATTGTTTGCCAACAAGCAGCAGCTTTAAAGGGATCCCTGATTAGTTGTAACATTAGACTTTATTTGATAAACATAAATTTTAACTGTAAAATAAAGACTGTAAAAATACTGTAGCTTTAGTTTGTATCATTTCTAAACTAAAAGGTTAAAAATATATTACACAGACAGAGCCATTTTATTTACACACAAAGCATTCTGGGTAAAAGATGACGTGGATAGGTCCT